AGGAATCAGTATATAAAACATAATTGCAGCATGAAATTTTATCCAAAGGATAAATTCGATGCCAAGTTTTCTTGGCTCAAATATTTGAAAATATTTATATTTTATAACTTTTGGTACTATATCTGTCTAAATATTTTATCTGTAACCATGTACAGATTTACCAAATGAAAATCACACCCCGCATGGGATGAAATGGGACGTATAATTAGTACCTTGTACCACAATGTCTCTTAATATATCAGGGGCCAAAGGGCCCCTTTCTATTTTTGCTGCAACAGTCTAAGCATAGCTACACTTACGGCATAATTGCTGGCCAAGAATTTTAATGATTTCCCCAAATCATAGATCATCCTTACCCAAACAAGCTTTTCCCAGGCTGGTTCCTCCAGCTCCCACCTCTAGTGTTTTCCTTTTGCATTGTGTTTAGAAAAATGTTACCATGGTTTAAAAACATTTTTTTGGATTAGATAAAACGTTTGATTAATGCAATGACCTCATCAGTTCCGCCGAGATAGGAATTTATTTGGATTTAAAGAGCTAATAATATCGCTGGTTCCACCCCCACCCCCCCCTTCCCTTGAATGAATGAACTTGGCTACTTCAGCGCAACACCTCCCGGCCACCCTGTGAAAGGCGAAAGAGGGATGCGGGATTCAGAGCGGGACTTTAGGTCTCCGTGCTCGGACACCGCGTGAAACAGATGTGGCGGACGCCTTCCACAGCTGGAACGCAGCATGACCCCGCCCTCCGCTCAGAGGGTTAAAGCAAGCCTAAGAACCTGAGGTGAATGACTCGTTTCGCATTGGCTGAAAAAGTTAGACCTGCTCACCCGATTGGCTGCGGAGCTGTGAGAGGGAGTTGTGGGCTCCAATTAAAGGGACTTCGCTCAGGCAGCGAGGCGATAAGCGCTCCGGATCAGAAAGTGAAGTTCGTGGTACTTGCCGAGTCCGGATTCCTCCCGGCACCCGCGATAGACAAGTCGCTTCGTGTTTTCCGAGTTAACCGCTGCAGCGAGGCACTTTTGCCGGCAGGAGTCAGATTCAGATCGCAGAGGGAAGGGAAGCAGAAACATGGATCTGAGTTCAGGGATTCAAAAAGTAGGTACCTTGTCGCATTTCTTCCACTCTCCTCCCCAGGAGGTTTAGTTTCTCTTTCGTTCTCCCTCAAAGCTTTTGTGGCAGGTCTCGACGGTGGAAGGTGCCGTTTTGTAGACGCGCGCCTGTTCAGCTGCAGGGAGACCTCATTGCATTCAATGGGCATTCTCTCGGAGCCGGTATCTGTAAGAGGGTGCGGTAGGGGGCTTGGTGGGAGATGCTGCTGCTATCTGCAAGTGAGATGTAGAAAGGGCGCTTTCTGTTGTGGCGGCTCGGATAATCTCGTAGGTAGCCTGGTGCGCTGCCTTAGATGTTATCCAGGAGATTCAACCCAGGTAATTGTAGTAAGTGGCACGGTGGGCTGCAATCCTACACCCATTTTACTTAAGTGAATCTGTTGAGCCTTCTTTCGGAAAATTGAATTACTAACTGAACAAATTGGTCTTGATGTGCTTGTGGTAAATGAGCCTAGGATGTCAGCTCTAAGTGAGATAATTTAGTGGATATCTCTGTCGCTGAGAAAATAGCTTCCATTTTCAAAGTAATATGAACGAGATCAGGCATATTCCATTTTTGATATCCTAGGAAGTGCTACAGAATATTCCAAAATTGAGAGAGAATCATTAGCTGCTGGAATTCAGTCTGGATTGTAGATTATGCTGAAAGGGTTAATAAGTGAAAGGAGCCAGGAAAGTATTAAATAAGAATATTTATGTTCTAGTTGCACTTTTGAAGTACTTCTGTGAACTGTAGTCCTGGGATTTAACCAATGTTGGTTTGTGTGTCTGCCTTTTAGCTATGAATTTTCAGTTGGGAACTGGTTTAGGGTAAAGCCATGACTATAATGAACTGTGGTTTGACTGAGGAAGGTTGTAGTTGTGTTTCAGTCTTTTGTTTGGCTAAGGCAGTAAAATAAAGGTGCGGACATAAATGTTTGGGTTTTTTTCTTTTTAATGGGATAAGGATTTTTTTTTTAATCACCAGGCTTTTTGCTTTCAGGATGACTATTATTATAGCATATTTTTCACTCATCTCCATTTAAAAAAAAAGGGAAAGCTTTGGTGTTTGGGTGTTTTGTAACTTAGATGGCATATTTACATAGAGACTATACAGAAAGAGTCCAAGTCCTTGGTTATAAGAACATAATTTTTCACTTCTTCTCTTAGTAGAGCTTTTTACATTTGTCATGCACTATTTTGGAAAGTGGATATCTTACATATGTGATATTTAGAGGGGGACAATACAATGTCATCAGTGTAGAAAATAGAACCAAATGTAACTAAACTGGAAGCTAAGTTGGAATTTTGCTTCCAAAGAGATGGTGATGATGCTGTAAAATACTGTCTAGAGTGTAATATAATAGGAGTGTGCAACTTTCTTTATCCAAGTAGAATGAGAGGCATTCAAAACATCAGATAGCTAGAAAACAGAGTAATGGGAGTGCTATTTGCATTGGGTTAAAATAACCTGGACTCCACCGTAATGGAATGAGGAGCGTGTTGACAGTTGGCACAATAAGCTTGTCACAGGGAGTTCTAAAGCAACTATCATAATAGTCAGACTCAGAATGATTATGCTGTAAAATCAGTTCCACAGCTGGCCTTATGTTGCATCTTAGACCCAGAAATTCAGGCTGTGACTGGATTTGTATAACACAATAGGCTAAAATGGGGTGGCTAGTTTGTGGATCAGTGTGTTGTACAGATCCATGCAATTAGGGTAATTCAATGGAGTAGGAGTAGATAACCTTGATTAGCCTGTTGTGCAAATAGAATTTTGAACTCACTTTATGAGCTTTAACCTGCAAACTGTAATAGTTTCAAGGATAATGTGATGTTCTCTCTATGGATAGAATAATAGCCTATTCCAGTTATTAATTACTCGTTAGCCTAACAATGTGGCTATTCCTCATGTCAGCATAACTTTGTGGGTGCATTCAATGCAGGAAAGTTGACTTATTCCATCAGAGTAACATTAATAAGTATGTCCCAGTCTCTTCTTCCCTCTCAATCCTTTTACTTTAATTTATTCTGATGCTGGTTATTGTACCACTATCAACTTGCTTGCCTAGGAATATAAATAGTTTTCATCTTCAAATGCAGATGTTTGCATCTTAAAACAGAATCAGTGTGGATTGGGAGATTGGGAGTTTGTTAAATTGTTACCGCATGATAGCCACAGAAGAATGCTATTAATGGCGGCTTCTAGTGATATATTCTGCTAAAGCAGAAATTGAGAAAAATGCCAAATTTTTAATGGTGGGATTTGGTATGTGAATCAAATGTAATAAAAGTTGGCTTTGCTGCAAATTCCATGGAATAAAGCTCTATTGAATGGTTAGTCTAACTGGCAAAATCAGCTGTTTCATCACATAATATATACATGGTTATTAACTGAGGAAATTCCAGGGCTATTGGCTACACTGGGAAGTCAAAAACACATTCTGGATGAAGGCAGTGCAAGACACTTCATTAACACTGCCAAGAAAATTGCATGATGCAGTCACCAGGAATCAAGCTTAACTTGAGAGTGTTTTTACCTTTTTTAGAGATCTAAAGAATAATAAGCACCTATAAGATTTGTGTGACAGGAGGGAGACTTAAAATAATATAGACTCCACTACAGTAGAATGAGGAGTATAAATAGCATATAAACATGTCATGGGGAGTTCCAAAGTCAATAAGATGCCCATCACTTCAATAGGGAGGGTTAACATAAATTTCATATCTAAGACCTGGATCATGAGAAGGGGGAAAAACAACAGCTTTCAGCTTTCAAGAGAGCTTTAAAATTCTGTCTGCTCTCTTCCCGCCATCCCATTCCAGTATTAGTGCTGGCATCTTTCTTTCCTCTTCCTCCTCCTCCTCTTCCTTCTGCTCTTACTCTTCTTGGGAGGGAAGGTTCTTAAATTTAGGGTGGTGGTGTTGTTCCTTTCATGTAAATGTTAAAGATAACACAGTCCTCCCATAGCTACACCTGAGCAAAGGCAGTTTTGGTCATAGTTGAATTTAGGAACAAGGTTAGAGTTGGGTATAAATATCATGCCCAGTTTCAGATTGGTAGGTGACACTGCGTTATTTCAAAGATAGTTGGAATTTCCTATGTCCCCATGAGGCACTAATTGCCTTTTTTTTCCCCTTGTGGGCTCTTCTCTCCACACTGGACTGAAACAAATAAGCACAATTTGAAGTCCATCTGTATAACAGCTCCTTTATCAAGTTACATAGCAATGTTTAAATTTAGCTAATCCAATAAGAAAAGATTGAAGTACAAATGGAAGCAAACATATTTGACCTTACATGCCTTAAACTTACAGGCAAGTAGGGTTTGTGTAGCTGCTAGGGATACACAGATGCCAACAAAATATGTTTATTTCACTGCTTGCAGGGGTTGAGCAGTTTTCAGGTTTAGCACATTTCGAAGGATTTTTTTTTTTAAGTTTGGAAAAAATATTTCTTAGTTTGGGTGAAGTTTATACTTGTGTAATGCCCAAGTCAGCTGTGCCAAGTAACTCCAAAATATTTTGCAGTGTTTTGTTCTCCTGTCCCTCAGTTTTTAGAAGGCTTGAAATGCTGTTACAGGAAGTGTTTGCTGTTTCGATCTCTTTAGTGCTTGTGGGGTTACCACCTGGCCACTTCAAAAACGCCCAGCTCAGTGAGCAAATTTTAAATTACCTAGTTTCTCTAATCTGAGCATTAAATAAAGTAGAGCAATTGCCTCAGTACATTTGGGGAAGGGAAAATCCCCCTACTGGTTGACTTCTGCTTGTGGCTAGTGTTTATTTTGCTTAGATTTTCTTATGAAAATCCAATCCCTGATTTAAAAAAAAAAGAAAAAAATCAGTGATTTTTTTCAATACCTGCTACTGAAAGAAAGTCAATTTTGAATTTTGAGACCACCTCCCCTGCCCAAAAGAAGGTGAATCAGAAAGCAGGATCCTGTGTGCTGCCAACTTCCCTGCTTTCTTAATTAGGGTTGCCTACTGTACTGCCACTAAAATGTGAGATACAACCATGTGTGTTTATGCATATGCATGTTATATATAAGCACAGAGCAGAGGCCATGTTCCAAAAAAAAGGTAGGGCCAAAGAAACAAGTTACTATAGGTCTGTTTCTCCCATAGGAATGCAATGGGATTTTTTTTTTAAAAAAAAAAAATCAGACTCTAGGTACATCTGGCCAATTTTTCAAGTTGATGTTTCTTCTATCCTGTAACAAATTTTGTTCTGTTCAATTTTCAAGGAGTTACACATAAACAAATGGACAAAGTCTATATTATTTATTTCCAACATTCCATTGGGTTGGAAGGAGTAAAAACTTAATAGTAATAACCACTGATTAAAATAAACTGCCTTGAAATTAAGGCATCCTTTTATAAAAGTAATTGATCCCTCCATATGTGTATACAGATACAAACTGTTCTGTTTTACCTAAAGTATTCTCTTACAGAAGGACACACGTATACACAGAGAGAGGTTGCAGGCATATGCACTTATATATACTTGTTCTATAGTAAGCCTTAACATGTTCCACGGCTCTTACTCCCAGGTAAGTATAATTAAATTTTGCTAGGAGATGGCTGTTTCCTTAAATGTAGATTGGCTGGAAGTCAAGGAAAGAGATCTTTGGGGCAGTGAGCTGTTTCTTCTTTTTCTGTCCATGGAGACTCTCCGCTGATCAGGGATCCTGATTTTCCATTCATATGGAGAACTTCCATTGATAGGAGACTAGCCATGCTAGTTCATCTACTTCACATGAAAGGCATCATGAAAGGAGGGCTAGAATGTTTAATCCTCTGTTGCATTGGTCTCAGCTGTTTGCTTTCTGTTTGCTTTTGTTATTTGCAATCTCTGCCCATTTGCTTCCATTCAACTGTATCTTCCTGTCTCAACAGATGTAAGACAACCTGCCCCCTTTTCACATTTACAGGTAATGATTTGGAAGAAAGCTTAATCATCCTTCCTAGTTATTGTCAAAGATTATACAGAGTGATTCGCTGACCA